GCTAATGATGCTATAAAAAGGAAAAGGCAAAGGCATTTTCTGCTTAAAGATAGTTACTGGATATTTCTAGCTACATTAAAAATAAAATATGGTTTCAAACTGGAAAAAAATAAAAAATAAAAAAAAAAAAATAAAGTGCAGGGCAACGTCCAGACTACATGCCACAGGAGAGCTCAACAGTTTAGAACAATATAGCCTGGGTAGGGGATACATTATAGCCTGTCGCAAGTAATGGAAACGCCCAGGCCCCAACAGACTGCATTACATAGATGCCCGTTGGGAGAGCTATAGCTGTGCAGACAAAGGGTGCCTACTCATTGCATCTTGCCTTGACCAAGCTACCGTCCTGTCCAGACTGAGCAAAGTGCCAGGCGCAGCTCCTGCAGTGTCCTGCCATTTCCTGTTGTTTCTATGTGCTTCCTACAAGTGTGTACTTTATAAAAACAAAGACTGTAGGTATAAGTCTGTGTGCTGACAAAACAAGAATTTTTGAATAAAATATTGCCCCTTAGTAATACAATCACATCAACTTCAACAGCTATTTATGTCAATAAACAGGGCTACTAAAGAAACTATTTTTACTATTGTATGTATATGTGTTAAGATATGAAATGATAATAGTATATACTGCAAAATCTCATAAGGTCATAATGCAACTTTGATGGTCCAAATACATAATTCTAATATGCAAATTACAAACTGTTCTTTTTTTTAATAGTATTAGGGATCAAACTCAGAACCTTTCCTTGTGAGGCAGGCGCTTATGCCACTGAGCTATCTCCCAGATCCTATACTTTCTAATCCGCATATAACTCATGAAATTGCAAGAACCCAAACCAGGAAGCAAAAATGTAAAAGACCCCTCTTTTTAATCAGGACAAGCCACATCAACAGGGCTAGAAACACAAATTTGGCTAAGTCTGTTACCACCAATAAAAATAACACCACCACCAACAGAACACAATTGGACAGTATAAGACTCAAGGTGTTTGTGTGCCCTGTTAACTCTCATACACTGTTCCATGCCCTTATTTTAAGAGTAGCAAGAGAAACTAACAGCATATGGATCTATGAAAGATGATGGAGAAACCTGGTTAATCAAGACACTGCAGAAAAGGGACTCTTGAAAATGTTTATTGAATCTTTAAAATTTAAGAAGCATCTAATTCATCTCAAAGTTCAAAGATACATGAACTATGTGAAGTAAGTGTGTAAGAAAAGGCAATAGTCTAAGATGAAAATAGGCATAGAAATATACAATAGTCTAAAGGCAATAGTCTAAGAGAAAGAAATATGCAAATGAATACTAGAGCCATTCTAGATATCTCAATGTGATAGACTGGAATTCAGGATTAGTTACAAAGACAAGGAAAATCTGGGAAGCCAAGCTGGGATGAAATGAGGCAACCCAGGTATTAATGTCAACTGGAAGCCACCTTATTTCTTTCCCTACGGGCCAGAGTGTCATAGGAAATAAAAGATATTACCAGATCTATGGGATCAAGGCCACCTTAAAAAAGCCACAACACAAGTGGACAGAACGAGGCACATCTGGAAATCTCATCGCAACAGAGGACAAAAGAGAAAGGTCTTATTTGCTCCTCCTACCTCCAGGTTCCCAACTGACTAAACCTAGCTGGCTTCCAATTGGCAAGAACGTCTAAGAAA